ACTGTGGTTTACAAAGTCATTCATGATGATTTGTTACAAGCATTCAGTATTCCAACCCCAATCCCACCACCACTATTACTTTCCCTATACCATTGGCTACATTTTCCCAGCCACCCTTCAAGCCTGCCTCCTTAGCTGACCCACAATAATTTATTTTATATTGCTTGTTACTTAAAAATGACAAACAGAAAAATCAAAAAATATTTTCAGAGAACAAAGTTGGTAAAAATTGTTGTATTTCCTCATGAGGACATTAAATCCTCGTCTGAGGGACTAGTAAAGTGTTGCAAGTTAAGCCTTCTGTGTTAGTTATTTTTAATTGAGATTGGTTGGCTTCCATGTTACATCCCGTCCAATCTGGTGTGCTACTACTGAATTGTCAGTGTTGTAAAGTTTGGAGATGCAAATGCGGCTGCTCATTCCAGAAAATCCAGAATATTTAACTGGGCAGTCCAACTGGAATTAAATTTTTTAATGGGACTGTGTCTGAGGAATTTTTGTGGCTAATTGATCTCTTTCAAGATTTATTTATTAGTCTCTGGAACAAGGCCAATAGAGGAGCTTCCATGGTGGCAGAGATGGTTCATGTGATGGTTGCCAGGGCTACTGAAAGTACAGGGAGATGTGAGGTGGTGGCCCATCCTGATTCCAAGATGGCCTGGAGTTTTTAACCACAGGAACCCGTGTTTCTAAGTTTTTGGGCAGGCATAGTTCCCTTTGAGGTTCAGTCCCAAGATGATGAGGCTGGAGGCATGGCCATTGGAGTGTGGGAGCAGGCAGCTCCAGGGCTGGAGGCATGGCCATTGGAGTGTGGGAGCAGGCAGCTGCCAGGGCTTTGTTTGGGTGGGCACTGGCCTGCCCCCTCTAAGACTGCCTAGGATGTCACAGTCAGGAATGGGTGTGGGAGTGGAAGATTTATAGCTCCTTGTAAACAGATGAATTTGAGAGTTAAGAGCAATAGTATTTTGTTCAGCCACACCATCAAAGTTGAACCTGTGGGCAAGGTTCTCTCTCATTCCCTTCAGTTAATGCAAGGTACGAGAAGTTCTCTTCTTCAGTTAAAGAGTTTTCTTAATTAGTAGAGATAGTACAAAGTTCCAATTACCATCTTGGTATATATATTATTTAATAAATGCCACAAGGATTTGATGTGTACTGTTTCCCTAAAGATGAACCTGGCCCCTTATCCAGTGTTCCTTATCTCAGAGAATGGCATGACCCCAGGCCATTTGAGTAAATTTTAATCCTGGGAGATTTAGGAACACAGAACCAAGACACAGAACTAGGTCCTATTGACTTTTTCTTCTTAAATATATCTTGAATTTTTCCACTTTTTTTTCATGACCAGCAAAGCCTTTTAGATCATTTGTTTAGACTACTGCTGATTTCACTTCACCCACAACCAATGTGATCTTGTGTGAACACACATCTCTGAGGCCCTCAGAGGTTGGTCTTAGAAGAAAAATTAAAGTCACTTGAATAGACAGTGAGGTTCTAGTCTCTCTCTCTCTCTCTCTAGCCTCATCTGAAACACACTTCTCCTTAATGTTAGTGAATTAATCGGACTTTCCTACAAGTGGGAGTCTCTTCCCTGCTATCTTTGTCTTGTTTCATCCCTTATAAATCAGCACATGTGTGATCTTCTCATAAATGGCTTCCATGATCTTTAGAAAAGTCTTCCTCCTACCCTCCCTTCCTCCCTCCCTCCCTTCTCTCTCTCTCTCTCTCTTTCTCTCTCTCTCTCTCTCTCTCGTGTGTGTGCGTGTGTGTGTGTGTGTGTGTGTGTGTGTGTGTGTGTGTGTATGAGAACTGTGTCTCAGTTCTGTGTCTCCTTTTGGAGATAATACTTTTTTGGGCTACACCTGGCTGTACTCAGGGTTATTTCTAGCTCTATGCTCAAGGATTATGCTTGGCAGATTTGGAGACCATATGGGGTGCCAGGGACTGAACCTGGATTGGCCACATGCAAGGCAAGCACCCTACTTGCTTTATAATTATACTAGCCCCAAAAGAGTTATTTTGCCTTGTTCTTCTAGACCCATCCTTTTTCTTCTTCATCTTTCATTTTTTAAATAGAATCACTGTGATTCAGTTTAAAAAGATGTATGTGATTGAGTTTCAGGCATACAATGGACCAGCACCAATCCTTTCACCAGTGTCCACTGTCCTCCACCAATGTCCCCAGTTTCCTTCCTGTCCCTGCCCCCACCCATCCTGATCCTGTGGTAGGCATATTTCCCCTCCACAATTATCCTAATATTGCTTTCCCTAACTAATCCTTCCTCATCCCCACCTCAGTGGCAAGTTTTCTACTGAAAACCAGTTCTGCTCTTCGTTTCTCTTCCCTTTGGTATTTGATATTCCTGTTCGTAAAGTAAAAGTAAAGTAAAGGCCCTCCCGTTGATCATCAATTTGCTCAAGCGGGCCCAGTAATGTCTCCATTGAAGACTTTGTTGTTACAGTGTTTGGCATATCGAATATGTCACGGGGAGCTTGCCAGAGCGTAGTTTCTTTATAGCCCACATATGAGAGATATCATTAATAGTTTGTTCATTTCCTTGTGACTGATTTCACTCATCGTGATACTCTCCAGATCCACCCCACATAGCAGCAAGCAAATTTCATGACTTCATCTTTTATTATGGCCAAGTAGTATTTTCCACTATATATATGTACCACAGTTTCTTTATTCAGTTATCTGTTCTTGGATATCTGTAGAGCCGTCCTTCTTCACTTCGTTGTGCTTACATAAACTTATAATTAAACACCTAGCTTTGGTGTGAAATGATATCTCATTGTTGTTTTGATCTGCATCTCCCTGATGACTAATGATGTAGAGCATTTTCTCATGTGTCTTTTAGCCATTCGAATTTCATCTTTGATGAAGTTTCTGTTCATTTCATCGCCCCATTTTCTGATAGGGTTGGATGTTTTCTTCTTGTGGAGTTCAACCAGTACTTTGTATATCCTTGATATCAGCCCCTTGTCGGATGTATATTTGGCGAATATCCTTTCCCATTCTGTGGACTGTCTTTGTATTTTGGTCACTGTTTCTTTTGAGGTGCAGAAGCTTCTTAGTTTAAGATAGTCCCGTTTGTCTATCTCTGTTTTCACTTGCTTAGCCAGTAGCATGATATCCTTGAAGACACCATTAGCTTCAGTGTCATGGAGGATTTTGCCGACTTTGTCTTCAATGTACCTTATGGATTCCGGTCTGATGTTGAGGTCTTTAATCCATTTTGATCTTACTTTTGTACATGGTGTTAGGCAGAGATCTGAGCCCATTGTTTTTGCATGCAGCCATCCAGTTTTGCCAGCACCATTTGTTAAAAAGGCTTTCCTTACTCCACTTCACATTTCTTGCTCCTTTATCAAAGATTAGGTGATCATATGTTTGGGGGGAGATGTCAGCATATTCAACTCTGTTCCATTGGTCTGCTGTTCTGCCTTTGTTCCAGTACCATTCTGTTTTAATTATTACTGCTTTGTAGTAGAGTTTGAAGTTAGGGAGGTTGATTCCTCCCATTTTCTTTTTCCCAAGAATTGCTTTAGCTATACGTGGGGGCTTATTGTTCCATATAAATTTCAGGAGTGCTTGCTCCATTTCTTTGAAGAATGTCATGGGTATCCTAATAGGGATCGCGTTGAATTTTTTACAGTTGTTTGGGAAGTATTGCCATTTTGACAATGTTAATCCTCCCGATCCATGAACAGGGAATATTTTTCCATTTCTTTGTGTCCTCTTTTATTTCCTGAAGCAGCGTTTTGTAGTTTTCTTTGTACAGGTCCTTTACTTTTTTAGTTAAGCTAATTCCTAGGTAGTTGAATTTCTGGGGCACAGTTGTGAACAGGATTGTTTTCTTCAGTGCTGGCACAGATGTGGTGAGAAAGGGACCCTCCTTCACTGCTGGTGGGAATGCCAACTGGTTCAGCCCTTCTGGAAAACAGTATGGACGATTCTCAAAAAACTAGAAATTGAGCTCCCATTTGACCCAGCAATTCCACTCCTGGGAATATACCCTGGAGAAGCAAAAAAAAGTATAGTTGAAGCGACATCTGCAGTTCTCTGTTCATTGCAGCACTGTTTACAATAGCTAGAATCTGGAAAAAACCTGAGTGCCCAAGAACAGATGACTGGTTAAAGAAGCTTTGGTACATCTACACAATGGAATACTATGTACCTGTCAGAAAGGATGAAGTCATGAAATTTACATACAAGTGGTACTACATGGAAAGTATCATGCTAAGTAAAATGAGTCAGAAGAGAGGGATAGACATAGAAAGAATGCATTCCTCTGGGGAACATAAAGGAACAAAATAGGAGACTAACACCCAAGAATAGCCGAGATAAGTACCAGGAGGATTACTCCATGGCTTTGAGGACAGCCACACATGCTAGGGGAAAAGGCAGCTCAGATAGAGAAGGGAGCACCAAATAAAGGATGTTGGGAGGTTCCTCTGACGATGGGAAGTGCGTGATGAGAGTAGACTATAGTCCGAACAAGATTGCCACTCAGTGTCTCTTTTTCAAACCAAAGCACTCAAAAGGAGAGAGATAACAAAAGGGAATGCCCTGCCACAGTGGTAGGGTGGGATGGGGGGCAGGGGGGTGGGAGGGATAGTGGGACTGGTGGTGGAGAATGGGCACTGGTGGAGGGATGGGTATTCGATCATTGTATAACTGAAACCCAAGCACAAAAATTTGTAAGTCTACAAATGTACCTCATGGTGTTTCACTAATAAAAATTTAAGGAAAAAAAAACAAAAACAAACAAACAAAAAAAACCACCTAGCTTTGTTGTTTTGATTAAGCTTTCACTACGGAACCATAAATTTTGTGAGCAAGAATCATGCCCAAATTTATAGTCAAATCCTTAGTACTTGTCACAGAATGAAGCTTGGAAAAAGTAATTCCTCACTACACTTGTTGAATATGTGTGTTTTATTTTTAAATTATACACAAACACTCACACACATGTATTTCCTTATTGGCTATTTAGGTAGAGGAAGAAGAACCCACCGGATACATTCGATATGAAAAATTTCTTCCAGTGATGATAAAAGTACTACAGGAAAAAAGGTAACTGTGATTGTTAAGACAAAATAATGATTAGGATTACATTGATTTCAAATCTTTTTTTCTCATTGCATATTATATTCAACCCATATTTATCTTAGAGTCATTCTAACTTTTCACTATACTTCTGAACTGCCTTTTAGCATATGTGTATAAATATTAACTACTTCAATAATCACTAACATATATTTAGAGGGGAAATTAAGTGGCAAAATAATAGATCAACTATTAATTATTATTTTGAGTTATTTATGATAATAATTAACCCTAACTATTTTTCCAGAGAAAGAATAATTTAGCTTACCATGCTTAGTTTCTTTTAGAGATTTTTTTCCCAGATAAGTGTATTTTTACAATGATGAAAAAAGCAAATAGAAAACATTAAATATGCCAGTTAATTTTTAATTAAATATTTCTTGTAGAATCAGAATGTTTTCAACTTTTAGATATAGAAATCCAGAGATGTTTTAGTGAGGAGAATCATATTTTCCTTGTATGTTAGCAACTTTTGTTTAACTTTAAGTGATAATTTATTATGTAGTGGCTGAGCAAAATACTGTGATATTTATTCCTTTTATTATGTAATTAGATACAGACCAATTCCAGAAGATGTCCTTCTTCGAGCCTTTGAGGTATGTAAGCTTCAGCTTTAATATATATGTATATATTTATATAAAAATTTTATCACGTAGAATTTATTAACCAAATAAAAAGTATAATATCTATCTTTTCTCTTTCTCTAGGTATTAGATCCAAGTAAACGTGGGTTTCTTTCTAAGGATGAATTAATTAAGTATATGACTGAAGAAGGTAAGAATGATTGGCTACTTATAAGGGATTAATATTTCTGAAACAATTCAACAAAAATATAGACAATTCTTTAAAAATAATCACTCAGGTTAAAAAGAGTGAGTTTTGGTTGTGTGATAGCTCAGAGTTTGCAGAGGTGAAAGGACCAAAGGTAGGTTAATCACATGTCTTTGAATTGAAGCCATTCACTTAGAATTTTTTTTTAATTTTTTTTTCTTTTTGGGTCACACCCAGCAATGCTCAGGGGTTACTCCTGGCTCTGCACTCAGGAATCACTCCTGGCATGCTGGGGGACATATAGGATGCTGGGGATCAAACCCAGGTTGGCCGAGTACAAGGCAAACACCCTACCCACTATACTATCGCTCCAACCCTCACTTAGAATATTTTTAGAAAACTACTGATCAATCATTATTGTGTGTGTGTGTGTGTGTGTGTGTGTGTGTGTGTGTGTGTGTTTAATAGGTCAAAGATTTGTGTTGGAGTTAATGAAAATCCCACTTACCAAGCTTTTCAGTACAAGTATCATATAACACAGTCTCAATTAAGTAAGAATCTCACATTTATTTTCCATTTTTCATTATGCTAACATAACCGTATATGTGCTTTGGGTTTTGTTCTTGTTTCCATTTGAGCCACATCTGGCCCTGCCTCTGTGCTCGGGAATTACTCCTGGTGGGGCTTGGAGAACTATGCAGGGTGCCAGGGATCAAAACCTGGTTTGGCTACATGGAAGGAAAGTGCCCTACCAGCTGTTCTATCTCTCCAGCCTCACCATATATTTACTTTGAACTTGAATTATACACATATATATGAACCTGTATAGAATACCTGAATACCTGTAAGTGATGGCATTTTTTTCCTTAGGATTTCTACTTGCTTAGGCCACAGTCACCGTCACAGTCATCCTGTTGTTCATTGATTTCCTCAAGCAGGCACCAGTAACATCTCCTTTATCCTAGCCCTGAGATTTTAGAAAGTGCCATATTCAAGGCTCTTTCAGGGTCAGGAGAATGGGACCCATCATTGTTACTGTTTTTTTGCATATTGAGTACACCACAGGGAGTTTGCCAGACTCTGCTGTGTGGGCAGGATACTTTCGGAAGCCTGCCAGATTCTCCAGAGTAAGAACTAGATAATAGGATGTTGCGTGGCCGTGCGCTTCCCGGAGCTGGGTTTTATAATCTCTGGGTCTTGGCCGTTGATAGGATTACACAGTGCCAGAGGCAGTTGGTATGTGTGACGCCTACCTACTGGAAGATGGGGGATCTGGGTGGAGGAGGCCCAGTCCTGATCCCAGCAGACTTGGTGATCTTGGGACCTGCATGCCTGGGTTCCTCTGCCGGTTCCTTCATGCATGAGGCTTCTCTGAACGTGGAGAGTGGTATCAGCATGGCTGTGGCTGGTTCTGGAGGTCATCAGCTGCCGGGGCTCTGCTCAGGGCGGGGAGGGAAACTCAACCCTCACCCCTCCAAGGGGCCCCAGTGAGGACAGCCAGGCCAATGTGTAAATTTGTTTTTCCTTAATTTTTGTGTTTTCGGGGCTTGGGGCCATATTTGGCTTTGCTTAGGACTTATCCCTGGCTTTGTGCTTAAGGCTCACTCTTGGGACCAGATGTGGGGATCAGACCTGCGTTAGCCATGCACAAAGCAAATGCCTTAACCCACTGCACTCTCTGGCCCTGTTCCTTTAATGTTAATGTGAATAGCCTAACCTCCCATATACAATTAGAGTGCTGTTCTCTATATTTAGTTCACTGCTCACAAAATGAGTCCTGAATGATTCAGAGACATCACTTGAGACAGAATCAAAAGTTTGAGTAATAGAAAAGACTTATATGAACAACTGGTATTGACTTAATCCACCACTAGATGAGAAGACAAGGAATGAGAGGAAGAATGACATGAAATAGGTAATGAACTAGAGTAAGAATGACATGAACTAAGGTAATCACAACTAAGATTACCTTATGGATTAACTCTGATGGAAATGTTAGGACTTTCAAAATAGTAGCTTCTTAGTCCAAAGGATTAATTGAAGGGAAGCAAATCATAGTAGGCAATAAGAATTTTATAAAATGGCCCAAATCACCAGCCAAGTCCTAGGCATAGCTGGGTGTGACACAAAAAAAAAAAACCAAACAAACAAATAAAACATTAGATAATAAAGCAGTAAGGATCAGAAGATTACTGTGGGCTTGACTGGTCTGGAAAACCCTGTGTGGGAAGAGTTTAAAAAAAAAGTTTTGTTAGGATGGGACTGGAGCAATAGCACAGTGGGTAGGGCGTTTGCCTTGCATGTGGCTGACCTGGCCAACCCAGGTTCGATTCCTCTGCCCCTCTCAGAGAGCCTGGCAAGCTACCAAGAGTATGTCGCCTGTACTGCAGAGCCTGGCAAGCTATCCGAGATGTATTCAATATGCCAAACACAGTAACAACAAGTCTCACAATGGAGACGTTACTGGGCCCGCTCCAGCAAATCAATGAACAACAGGACAGTGCTACAGTGCTACAGGATGGTTGAATTCGTATGGGTGAATTACTGAAAGTTGGGACAAAAAAATCTTTTCCTTATATGACCCCTTATCATTGTAAGTCTCAAATGCTTGTTGAATGATGAGTAGGTGAAAGAAGAATGGTAAAGGGTACTGATGGGAGACACAGATTGATAATAACATGTGGAACAAAAAGTAGGAGGTAGGAATGTGTATATTTCAGGAACCCATAGACAGTAAGTCTTGGAGGAATGTTTGGGCAAAGATGTGGAGTAAATGTAAACAAATTTGCCAGGAGCACATTGTGAGAACCTGGGCTAAAGAGTTTAGAATTCATCCTGTGGGAAATGGAAGAGATATATTACATGGTGCAAGAGGGCTTGTAAATTGAATCCAACATCAATGGTATGTTAGATGTGTAAGAAATAGGTTAAATTAGGAAACCAGTTAGGTTATTGCAGCATTTTGTAGGCATCCTAATAAGGGCCTGTTCTGGCAGTGTTGGTGGAAATGGAAAGAAGAGATTGGTAGACTGTGCCCATCTATAACAGTATCAATGGTTCCTGATGAGTTACAGAGGGCAAGGGACAAAGATGGCAGCCAAGTTAAAATAAGAGAAATACTTTCACCTGGATGATGGGTAATTCCTGAGTATAGCGGGACAGGAAGTAACCCCTGAGCATCACTGGGTGTGGCTTTAGTCTACTTCAGTGGTTTCAGGTAACAGCAAAGGTCATTTTGGATACTGATTTCACCAAGAACATTTAGAGCCATGGTTATTCCAATTTCAAGTCTATTATCTACTCTTGAGCAGCTTTGCACAGTGCACTTACTCCTTTCTTCATATTCTAACCATGCATAATGATTTAGTCATCCCTGGATGACTGGGTTGCTTCCTGGGTGATTGCAATAATTTGAATTCATCTATTTACTTATTTATTTATTTATTTAATAAAGCAAGATAGGTTTTAATGAATGAAATTTGCTTAAAAGATATAAAGGAGAGAAATACATGTTCAAGAGAGAACACGGGCTTCTCTAGAGTGCAAAAAAGCAAGCAAAGATATACAGTGGCAAGCAAGCAAGATATGTGTTCGAGGGAAGGCACAACTTGAAGAGCAAGTCTCTTCAAGTTTAAATTCAGATAGAAAATCTTTTCATCATGTTTTTATGCCTTTCTGCTATATTGGCTAACTGATAGTTCTGTAGGTTGTTTGAGCTATGATATAGGTAAATAAATTCTAAAATACGTCCAGAAGGGGCTGGAAAGATAATGCAGTGGGTAGGGAACTTTCCTTGCACATCACCAACCCAGGTTCGATCCCGGGCACCCCATATGGCCCTCCAGGAGTGATCCCTGAGTGTAGAGCCAGTACTGCTGGGTGTGGCTGAGTACTACTGGGTGTTGTTTCCCACACAAAAATGTTCAGAATATGTCAGGTGCTCAAGAGCATACTCTCCAAATCCTTGGACTGCAATCCTGCATTTCTCTGCAGCTCCAGGGACAGTCACTAGTGTCAGAGATGAGTGTGTGTGGGGCAGGGGGACTAAGGGGGATTCAGGGCAATTAGCCAGGAAGCAGAGAGAGAAATAAATGTCTAGAAGACTGTAAATGATAAATTTTCCTTCTTGTTCTCCCCCAGGTGAGCCTTTTTCTCAGGAGGAAATGGAAGAAATGTTGTCAGCTGCTATTGATCCAGTAACGAACGTAATTTACTACAAGGATTATGTGACGATGATGGTGTTAGATGAGAGTTAGATGCTCTAATGACTTAATTTCTAATTGAAAGGGTAATAAAATATTGCTTATCCCTTAGAATTTCACATTTTTTATCTTATACTTCCTCCCTATGATAATTAATGCCTGAAGACAACGATTTCAAGATATTCTGTTCTTCAGAGAGGAGCATAGCAATTTAAAACATAATTTACTATGACTAGTCTTATATGATGACAAATGGATAGTTCTTTTAAAGTCTTAAAGCATTTTAATATTATGGACTTTTGTTAATTTTCTACAATAAAATTCATATTACCTTCAAATTAATTAAGTTGACAAAAATGAGGAATGATCCAAGGTTTGTCATACATTTCATCTTGGGAAGGAACACAATGGTTACAGATTGAAAATTCATAGAGCAGCTCAATGGAAATATTTTATTTAAGGTACTGTGATTTGAAGTGCTGTTAACAATAGGGTTTCATGCATACAGCATTCCAGCACCACATTGAAAATGTTTTTAAACAATAACACTTTATGTATTAAAAATATATATTTGCCAAGAATGTTGGGCTACACCCAGCAGTGCTCAGCATCTATTCCTGGCTCACTCAAAAATGACCCCTCAGGTACTTGGGGTAGCATATGTGTCCAGTAATGTGAACCAGGCTTCAAGGTGTTTGAGGCAAAGCATCTCTCGATCACAGAACAAACACTTGAGCAACCTGAGTGTGTAAAGTGAAATGATATTGATGAGTATTTTCTTATGAGTTAACAATGATAAATTTCTTGAGAGTATATAAATTGAGTTTAAAAATTTAAATTTTCTCATTTATATGTCCTCATTTACGGCTAACAAAGTTGAGATAATTGAATTTAGAGAAAAGAAGACTGAATGGAAATTCATAATATAAGAATGCCAGCAATTCTCTTCTAGTCTTTTGAATTCTTACCTATTCATATTATCTGTCATAAGAATACTGTCCTGAATACTGAGTAAGAATATTAAGAAGTTTTATGGACAACAGGACATACAGCTGTTGACAAAGCAGGATAAAGTTATCTGTGCAAAGAAATAGCAATGAAAAAGACATAGGAACTTACAAACAAAGGGGAAAATAAAGTAAAAGAAAATGGCCCTCCCGTTGTTCGTCAATTTGCTCGAGCAGGCCCAGTAACGTCTCCATTGGAGACTTTGTTCTTACTGTGTTTGGCATATCAAATATGTCATGGGGAGCTTGCCAGGCTCTGCCGTGTGGGCGAGATACTCTCAGTAGCTTGCCGGGCTCTCCGAGAGGGGCGGAGGAATCGAACTCGGGTCGGCCATGTTGGCTGCGTGCAAGGCAAACGCCCTACCGCTGTGCAAGTGGCTTCAATAACTAATATGTTCTTCACATACTTATGTATACAGGCACACACACAGTGGTCTCTGTAGATATTTCACTACTACATTTGCATATGTATTTGCATACGTATACATAACACACACATATGTAGATGTATAAATACTTAATTCTGCTTGTTGTATTTCTTCACTGGGAATACAATCTTGCCCTCCAAGAGAGAGCACAGGTAACCAAGAGATTATTTGTCACTTTCATTCATTCATGAAGCAGGTACTGAGTATTATTAGAAAGTGTTCTAGGAGCTGGAGTTAGGACGCAAGTAAATCCCTAACTAATCAAGGTCCAGGAAGTGTAGCCTTGCACCCCCCTGATATTCAGCAGCCACATCATTTCAGACAGGGCACACTCAGGGCACTGTAGAAAGTTGGGCAGTTGATATGGCAGAGGAACTTTCTGGACAGCAAAAGACTACTGAGTAGCGGAGCCTCCCCAGAATTCCAGAACAGGTACGCATGACTGAAAGAAATGCTGTTTGCTAAGCGATCATCAGGGCTCAGCAAATTTTAGCAGTGGAACAGAAGCAAAACTACGAGACAAACATCGAATTATCTGGGAGTTGAAAGCACTTGAGTGTAGTGTATAGGAGGCAAGATGAGAGATGATGCTGGTGTGAGTGACAGGAGCTTTATCATTAAGAATATTGTGTTAGGTATAGAGTTAGACATTATTCTGAAGATCTAGAGAAAGATGGAAGAAGCACAGAAATATGGAATGAAAAAGTTCCCACTGGGTAAATTATACTGCCATTCATTCAGAGATGGTCCAAGAAGCAAGGCAGGGATTGGTAGAGAAACATAAGGCTGGCTATGAACTACCTGGATTTGAGAAGCTAATGGGACACCCAGGGAAGGACGTCCAATAACTAATTGGCTCAGTAGAGGGAGAGCTGACTAGAGATGTGGATTTTGGAGTTCTAGGCAGGTAAGTAATAGTTACTGCCTTAGAAAGAGAAGAAGGTTAGCAAAACCATGAGAAAAATCAGCTTTGAAGGGAAGGCAGAGAAAGAGGAACTCCCGGGAGGAGAGGAGAAGCAAAAATTGAAGAGAAGAAGATAGGAGAGAGTCCGAAGGAGGCAGAAACTGACCAGGTCAAAGGCCAGAGAGGTGAAGCAAATGAAGGTGGGGGAAATGTTCACTCATTTTACGGAAAGAGTTTACTGGAAATCTCTGCCAGAGCTGATTTGCGGGTTTAGGAGTGACTGGATTTGAGGAAGTAAAGCATGGAGGTTTGGTTACTTGACAGTGAGGAGGAAGAACACAGGGCTGGAGAGAAACAGCAGGTTGAGGGAGTCATTTTCATTAAGGGCTATGGGGCAGATGCAAGCACCTTTGTATTCAAAGCACAGAGAATTTGAATACTCTGAAGAAATCAGAGGGACCAGTTTCTGGTGCAGAAAGATTTGGTTGGGGGTAAGGGCGTGTGAATGGTGAGAACAATGAACTAAATTCAACAATCTCTACCTACTGGCCTGTTTTTCCTTTTGAGTGAGGAGGAAGTAATAGGTTATAGAGCCTGAGAAGAATAATGACATTTCGCACTATCCCCTATGGGAAATAAGGGAGTTGAGAAAGTGCTAGGGAAGTTAGATTTTCAAGTAATCCTGCAGTAATCTGTTCAGAAATGCTGGGTCTGGAGCAGAAGTGGTACATTCAGGATAAGGTTTTGTCATCAGGTGACATGAAAGGAACAAAAGATCAAGGGAATTGAGGAATCCACAAGAAAGTAGTTAAAACGAAGTTCTGCAGATCAGAAGTATTGGTAATACACTATTATGGAGTGGCTAACTGATAGGAGAAAAAGGGGGTGGGAGTCTTGGGACCTCTAAAAGGATAAACAACTTGCGTGGTGGGAGCCAAGGATAACTGCCTTTCCTGCCACAACTGAGTAATTATGTGTTCAGCTTGAAATTTAACGTCATTGCTCTTAGTGTGTCTTTTTTTTTTTGCTTTTTGGGTCACACCTGGTGATGCGCAACAGTTACTCCTGGCTCTCAGGAATTATTCCTGGCAGAGCTCAGGGGACCATATGGGATGATGGGAATCGAACCCCGGTCGGCTGCATGCAAGGCAAATGCCCTACCTGCTGTACTATCGCTCTGGCCCCTTAGTGTGTCTTTTATTCTCCTATGTTAACATCACAACTAGTGACACTAGATTATATGTATTGCCTGCCTCATCTCTAGAGAGTTTACAGTCTTCACTCATTTAATCCTCACAATGATATTGGAACAGCCAGGCAGGTAGATAGGAAAGGACTCCCCTTGGCAATGAGTTCTTAGGAAGTAATAAAACCAATAGGCTTGAAGTCAGAGGCCCCTTCAGGTGACTTATGTGAGGCAGAGAAGAGAGATGACATTTTCTTTCTCCTGATCCACCTCTGCCACTCTAAAGGACCTACTGGTAAGGCTAGGACTGCTAAAGTCTGCAATGAGCCCCTTCACAGCATGGACTTCAACTCGTACCAGCCCCACTAGGTGGCTGCCAAAACACCCCTCACTCCCACTTGACTTTCTCAGCATGGGAGTTAGTCTCCACCGCCTGATTTCTCAGGAAGCTGTGAACTCAGGCTGGAGCGAGGAGTTGCTCTTTACAGGAAAAGCCAGTCCTAGGCCTTACCCAGACCTTTCAGGTCTTTGTCTTTCTCACAGAAAAGAATTTCAGGAGTAGATGAGCAGTGAAGTAAAAACAGGAGACTTTTTGAGAAAACGAAGGAGGGAGAGAAAGGGAGAAAGAGTAACATGCTCAAGAGAGAACGCAGGTTTCTCCAAAGGCAGAGAGAACCCCAGTAAACATCTCATGAGGGGAGATGTGGGCAGCATATATATATGCTCGGGCACCACGTATGCTTGGCCAAATAGACACAAGCAGCACATGGGCTGGGGCAGCATATGTACGTGCTTCCTTGTTCAAGTTGACCTTTATGAGGTTTCTCCCAAGCTGCCCACATGGGGTTTTCTAGCTAGGTAAGAGTGTTGCTAGGGTGGTTGCCAAATAGGTAGAGTTGGGATTGGTTGATGGTCTTTGAAATTCCTTTCCTTGACTTTTGTTCCTGCTGGAGGTTCTCTCAGTGGGGCCCTTGTGGGAGGGGGTGGTGGTGTCCAGCCTTCTCTGGATCTTTGGCACCAGCTGAAGTCTTATCAGGCCTTGGTTCCTATGTCAAGGGGCTAGTGGTTTTATTACTTCACTAAAACATTTACCTCAGGCCTGCACAGACCCAGAGAAGGCTGGACTCCCCTCTGAGAGGATGCTCCAGTAGAAACAATGGACAGGAACGAAATGCTAAATAAGACCATTGTCTACTCTCAACTCTACCCCCTTGGCAACCACCCTAGCAACAAATGCTTACCTAGGTAGAAAGCCCCATGAGGGGAAGCTTGGGAAAACCAACGTGAACAAAGGAAATGTGTTCATATGCTGCCCGGGCCCATGTGCTACCCGTGCCCATGTGATGCTGCAAAGAACATGTGGTGCTTGAGCATCTGTCGCCCACATCTCCCCTCTTGAGATGTGTACTCCTAGATGTGTACTTTCATACTTCTATATCTATTGCTGTAATGTGTACTGGGGCTCCCTCTCAACTCTGGAGAAGCGTTTGTTCTCTCTTGAGGATGTTATTCTCCCTCTCTCCCCACTTTCTCAAGATTTCCCAAATAAACCTGTTTTTTACTTCACTGTTTGTCTCCTCCTTAAATTC